ACTGAACAATTTCATTTTAATTCGATTCATTTGAATGAATATTTAAGAAAACTATTCCATTTATTAAAATGATTCATATTATAATAAAGATGAAGAACTATTTAAAGATAAATAAAAAAGAATTAATATGATATTTGGTTATGTTGAAGTTATAAATTTGGTTATACTAACATTTCATTTGAACAATATTAATTTAATAAAATTATATTATATGTACTAGTATTGTTTTGTATAACAAATAATTAATTAGATAAATAACTCCTTAATATCAATTATAAATTTAATAGATATTATTTTTAAATAAAATATATAAAATTTACCATAAAATAAAATGAATATGAAATACAAAAGATATAACGTGTATGATAATGATCAATTTTGAAATAAATTTATTGATAAATGAGTTAATAATCATTTTATTGTTTTTGATTTTTATCATCATATCATAAACTACCTAGTTATTGTATAACTCATGTTATTTGTTTAATCATTATAAATAAGAATTTATTTTTTCACGTTCAAAAAAATGGAATCACATTTTAATTTTAATTAATATATATTGTTATCTATAAATTAATTATCTCAATGTATTTTAATTAAACTATTATTTACTTATTGATAAGTGTTAATGGATATAAAACAATCTTTTAATTTTTAATGTAGTTCTGTTAAATTTGTTATCATTATATTTTTTTAGAACAATACACTCATAAAGAAAATGACGAATTAACTTAAAATTATGTTACAAATACCCTAAAATATTTCTTTTCATAAAAATAAGTTTACATATAAAAACAGTAATAATTATTTATTATAAATAAAATATTAATATAGATTTAAAAAGGGTAATAACTCACTGAAGATAATATAAAAATAAATTAAATTTCAAAAAAAGTATTTAAATTAATCGTCATTTGATTGATAATTCATTTTTAATAATATGCTTTACATATTTAAAAAGAAAAGAAATAAGCATCATTTCTTTAACATTATTATAATTAAAAATCGTCCTTATAAACTTGAACTTTCATCTGAATAAATCAAATACAAATGTATCAACAAATAAAAGAGTTTTTACTAAGACTATTAAAAATATCAATAACCAGTGTTTCTATTGCATGTCAATGTCACATACTCTTCTTTTCAGCAATTATATTGGTTGGGATCACAATTATTTTTACATTCTCTACTGGACAATTCATTGGAAGTCCATGGTGTTATTTTGTTGCAATTTATGAAGCAATTCTTTTTATTTTAATGGTATTTAGATTTATTTCATATGCTGTAAGTTCCATAATCAAATCAACCAATTATATTTTTGGTAATAAAAGACAAGTAACCAACCATGATTTTGTTAAAAAAATACAAGTAACCAACCATGAAAATGAAACAAATCAGAATGAAATACAACAAAATACTAATCTGAATATTAATAATAAAAACCAACAAGAAGGTAATGCCACTAATGATAACCAACAAGAAGATAATGTTAATAACGAAAACCAACAAGAAGACAATGCTACTAATGAAATATACAAAAGATAATGTTAATAATGATACCACAGAAGTTAATGTTATATGAAATGT